GTTCTCCGACCCCCGTCGACCCGCTTCACGTTCACGCGGCGGCGGAGAGCCCGTTTTTACCTGTCAAGATTACCCGCCGCAGGCCCAATGCTTACGTGTGCGTGTGCGTGTATGTCCGTACGAGTGTGTACGTCCATACTGTTGTAAGCGGGTGTTTGTGCGAGAGTGTGTGTGTGTGTGTGCGCGCCGGTCGGTCGGCCAGGTCGTCGTCGTCGTCGGCGGCGGCAGCGGTGGTGCTTGAGTATTTTACTGCTGTTCGGATATACACGGCACAGGTTCTAGTTGAAGGTATTCAAGATGGCTGCACCCCGTTCGCCACTCGCCCACCACCGGATCGCTCATATTATGTTTAARTGCGTGTGTGTGCGTGTGTGTTGTTTGCGCGCGTGTGTGTACCGACGATAACGGGGGGATTCGCCGTGCCCGCGCCCGCGCTCGTTTCGTCCGTTTGCCCGCGCGCTCGCGCCCATTCATGCGAGTGCGTCCGCGCTTTGTGTCCGGTCATCTTGCACTATTTATTATTATTATTATTATTTTTAAGAAACAGCAGTGGCATCCGAATAGTATTATAATATTATCATTTATTACATTATTGTAAGAGACCAACGTTTCGCGCATCATTCGTTCCATTTCTGCGCATATAATATAATATATTATTATGCAATCGTCTATCATCATATTATTTTACCTATCGCGTAATAATATTTTGCTAATAATTTAAATATCAGTATGTATGCGTCCGTAGCTTAGTATAAATCTTACCGGCGGCGACGGTTCGCCACACTAAATATGTACTCAGAACTCAATACACATGATATTATTTAGTGAACCATATAGGTTCTGGGTGTACACAAAGAGCCTTTTGCCGGATGCCTAAGCTACAATAACGGAAAACGGTATTTGATTCGTATACAATCAAAAATCAACGACCGCAATCCCAATAATAAAAACAACAATAATTGCCGAATTTGATCGGAAAGATATACACACCTGTCTTTCGYCTGTGGTCCACTACGGCAGTGAGTACCCCTCCCGCCGCCACCGTCGCCAACACCAACGTTTCCGCCGCCCAATAAACGTTTATTGGTGCCGACCAAACCGTCAATTATCGACGTTTTGTTTTTAATTTTTCGTGTTTTTGTTACAAAATACGCGTGTGCTCGTATAATATGATATATTTATATTTCGTTTTTTGCTACATATATTATTATATATTAATAAATTATATTATAATATCGGAAATATTTTCGTATAAGACATCTATTTTCGAAAAAAAAAAAAAAATCGTAAAATACATCAGCGAGCACCGTCCGTAATATAACTTCGACGACGTTTTTGATTTTTTTTTTCACGGTATGCACGCGACGTTCTTGTGCGTAGGAAAAAAAGAAGAAAAATAATAACGTAAAATAATAAATACACAGCAACAATGTCGTCCACGCGGCAGACAGATGGTGCCTATTCAATATTTTTGTGTCCCATCTCTCTTAAAGTATACGCATATGATTTTTCTGTGTAGAAGAAAAAAAACACGTTGTTTGTCTATACCTACTCTATCAGGTAGCTGGTAGCAGAACGCACTTCTCGAGTAGGTACGAATCCGTAAAGAAACGTGTGGCTTGCGCGCCGGGGGTTACGAGAGTCTCGTAACGAGCGTTGGAAAAATTCAACATCCAACGATTTGTACCCGTTTGGTCATTTGTCCGTCTGGCATTTAGTACACGCCGGGCCTGTTGAACAATCAGCTACGGATATAAATATTGTTTATTTTCCGTTTAATGTGACGTCGTCGAAACGCTATGTCCGATAGGAATTTAGCTTGCATTTACGTATCTTATTGTTTGTAAATCGATTTTTGTAAGTTAACTATTACTAATATTTCAGTTGGTATATCGTAGACCTGGTACCCTATATTACGTATAATATGTTGTCACGTCTTGTCAAGTTATAGGCGGCGGTCAAGCATTAGTTTGCTCGGATAATTTATATTAMGTTGTAGTGGACCATATTTTRATGAAAGCTGCAGATTAATGAGAACTTTAAATAAACTTATATGACGTTATTAATAGTTTTATAACAGTAAGTCATTATATCTATAAAATACGTATGTTGTAAAAATAGTGTTAGTTGTTACGGAATACAGATAATGAATAAATTGTCTTTGTTAATCACGCGCGTTCAATTAAGTTTATTTATTGCACTTATAATATTCAGTAAAAATAATTTAAAACTAATYAACAGCTTATTAATCACATTTTTGTATTGTTTTGTAATAAATAAGTCGTTAATTTTGTTCGTAGTTTTATAGGCAACTACGATTATAAGTTCAATAACAATCCAGTATACCTGGTAATTTTGATTATATTATTGTATTACATTATTCGGTAATTAATTTGACTTGAATATATCACTTCCAACCTTTTCACTCAGCCCTTCAGTCATTTATTTGTTTTTTTAGAAAAACGAATCACGGTATATGTTCATTTATTTCAAACTAGTACCTTATTATTGCTTAAATGTTATTGTAATTTTTAATAGTGGGCACTGTTTCCTGCAATTTAGATCTGTGAATGTAAGCTTATAATAATTAATTAAAATATTAAATTTCAAAAATCTWTATGATTTTTAGTTTTTACTACAGTTGAATTTTGTAAAGTATTTGACAATTGATTAATATTTCTTTCTTATCATACTATTTACACATATATTATATATTATRATATACATCTCAATATATGGGCATACTTCAAAAGGCCTCTCAAAAAAACTTGGAATATTATCAATCGTACCTAATTTAAATGGTGTTTTTCTTAGACCTGTACCATACTAACCAAATATCACGTCACCTGAATTCAAAAGAATTAGATTGAAATTCAATTTTATTTTATTTTCACGTTTCACCTTGAATGAATTGTAAACATTATTTTATGAACAAGAACCCCAAAATATGTCAATTGCATGCCTCCGTCATTCGTTATAGGTATGTAGATATGTGTCCAACACACATAATGTGTGTGAGTGTGTGTATACATAAACTATAAGAATAACAAGTATATAGGTACTACCCGATGCCACAGTAATAGAAAAATTTGTGCTCGTATATCCACGTAGGCATACGTATAAATATATGATATATATATATGTATAGTAATCGTAGGCCGTAACGAGTGTTGGGAAATTCAACATCTAACCTTTTGTACGAGACTTGTTTTGTTCATTTGTTCGTCCGGTATTTGGTATCTACACGTGACCGGTTAAGTACCATCTTACAAACATTTTAGAGTTAATCGGTTCAATTATTTATTAGTTTCTCATTTTTATGCGCAGTCCAAATTTACCTCACATTCTAACAGGTGTAAAAAAATTTAACTTTGCCATTTTCGGTTGATTAATCGCAATCGATTTAGATTTTTATTTTATTTTTAATGCAAAATGAAATGTACATATTATAGTATATTACATTTAAGCGTATTCAAATAAAAAAAGCATAGTTCTTATAACGAATGGGACAGTGCCAATACAAAAGACATATAGGTACSCATATTTAAATAAAGTAAAAAAATGTAGGTAGGTAAACTGCACATACCTACATAATACATAATATATAATATAATAACGTATTTACGTATAGAGGTACCTGGTACCTGGTACAGGTTTCATCCGAATATTATGCCCCCTATTTACACGAGTTTCAAAAGACTGCTATTATTGTAGATGGTTCTTTTATTCTCMGATGTGAGTAGAATGAAGATGTCATTTCAGCGTGTCTACTGATTGACATGCGTGATATTGTCGCTGTATTCCCAAAAATACATGGTTTTGTGTGTAGTTAAGATAAAACACTATTGGACATTAGTTACAAAACATAAAACACGTTTAACACTATCTTAATGTCTACACGGTTGATTAAATAAATGTGGGCAGGAACTAGATACACCTATATACAATATACATATCAATTATAATATTGATTTCGGGTATAGGCAAGACAATTATTGACAATAAAACTATAGGTAGGTTCTATATAGAATATAGATTTAAAAAAAATTTMAAACTTGTGTTCCTTTTATTTCATATTCTTGATATAGTAATAAATTGAATAGAAATATAACTTTATTTCAATGTTTCATACTAATTTTAATTTGTTACAATATTATAAAAATTAATTTAAATATTATAATTCCATTCGCAATTATTAAAAAATAATTTTGTAAATAATTGTTTATGTCGTTTTAAGAAGGTTATATACATTATTATGCGCCTATAAATTAAAACTCTATAATAGTGTATCATGTAACATGTACATTATACATTATACATTATACATTATCGGAAAGTATAAGTTAACTATAGTCATATTATAGACACTTTTATTTGTAAACTAATTTTTATCACTTAAAACCCATACTCATGTATACGTTCTTATAAGTGATTATTGTTTATTTGAAATTTGAACTTRTAAATGTCATTAAAATGATTGTTGACTGTTGTACATATGTCATATGGTTATGGTTAAGTAGATTACAGACAAATATATCTATGCCTAATGGCAGTTTACTTATTCTCAATCTTAAACTTAAGAATGTGATCTGTGTTTGTAAGTTAGTTTTCAAAATAGTTTTTGGCGATATAAATGAGCATTTTTAAATTGAAATATCTTGCGTACTATTTTTTATATATTTTTAAAGAGTAAAAACAAAATATATTACCCTAACATCTTGATATTTTTATAATTCTATAAATTGTAATCCAATGTTATTTTAAATAAATAAATTTAAATGTTA